GAAGCCCCGTGAGATTCTCTCCTCTCTCCTCTAGTTCTCCAATGATGCATAGCTTTGGGTGGCAAAGTGCAACCAGATCGTCAAGCCCATCCAGGTGCAATCCATAGAGAGATCGTGTTTTCGATCTTTGTTCAAGGGGTCATTTGTGGGACGGTTCGAGGGACTTCAAAACGATCTACACCAACTCTTCTTCCGCTGGACCTCAAAGTTGCTAACGATCGGATCTAACCTTGTATGCATCTTCATAGTGATCCTTGGATCTTGATCCATAGGCCATTTTTTGTTTTCTAGTACATTTTCGAACAACTATCAGGCTTCTTCACTAGGAGCTCATTGTCGTCGCCTCTGTCGTCCCAGTTGCCGGTGAAATACGGCGAAATCAGTGAGTCTCTCTCTCTCTCTCTCTCTCTCTCTCTCTCTCTCTCTCTCTCTCTCGTTTGCGTGTGCCTAGGTGAACCCATTGGACACCCTCTGCATGCCTAGGAACCTTTTGGAGCATGGGCTCACTCAGAACTGGACTCCAGTACCATCGCTTTAGCCATTCCAACGAGGTGAGGAACCGATTGGCCTTGTCGTTATTTCCTTCACAACCTCGTGTTTCATCGCATCTCCCTGACCGGTTGTCCCCTTGCAGATGACTCGAATCGCGTGCATCATTTACGCTAAAGCTTTTCCATCACCATTGTCACTACAATCGCACTGCCACACCGACAGGGTACGCAACATCACCGCTGAGGACACTGGACCGGGGACTGCTGGAAGCCTCGCCAAGTTCCAACCTGAGCCACCCTGATTCCATATTCTCAACTTTGTCATCGCTGAAATCTCCCTTTTGGGGGTGAGGTGTTCTCAGTCATTCGATCTGAAAGACGTGATGAGTCCATTTTTGTATCACTTTTATTTTCTGTTTACATCATAACTATAAGATTTTCAGAGTTTTAAGGTGTTTGTGCACCTTTTTTCTACCCGATTTCACAAGGGCCGTTAGGGGGAGGATATTTGAAACATTAATTTCGAAACACCTAATTATGGGTGAAAATCCACATCCATTGATATGATAACAACCTACCATACGAAATGCCGATCAAAACACACTAAGAAAGATTTTCACTTTGTCCATGAAAGATTTGCTCAAAGGAAATTAGAGGTTTCTCATTTATTCTATCCCGAGATTAGTTAGCATTGGATTCACCAAGACACTCCGAACTTCGGGGACAATCTCAACTTGAGTGTTGTGATTCAGGGAGCTGTTAGTGATAGAGATAGGGATGTTATTGTAACAAATCGTGATCCAACTATATAAGGATCCATATCTGTTTTTTCTTGATTCCCAACTTGTACCTTCTTGATGTACAAGCCAAACCATGCTATGTGAATATCATAACACGTATGCGTCCCTGCAAGATACATATGCTTCACAACCATTTACAATCTGATGGTTCCAAAACTTGCAAAAACTTATAAAACACTAAGCTCCCTCAAAAGCGAGCGTCCTAGTGAATCGGGGATGTGTATTGCGTAGGCAGGCCATATGTATGTGTTCGGTTGTTGTTTTTGACTCTTGGTCCATCTGCAGGTCCTCGTGGCGGCTAGGGTGGTGTTTCTGTACAAGTGTATGTGCATGTGTATATTTTGTTCTCGGGTTAAATCAATAAAGTTACTAAGCTCCGTACCATTGGATCGCTCACTAACAAGCAGAGCACAAAACAGCCGTTATTCGGCCTAGAGCTGGTTAGGTCGCTCCGCAGTAAGCATCTATATCTGTTGTACTAATGTATGATAAAAATTCAAAATTTCATAGTTTTCAAACGAGACTTCCAAACCATGCTCTTTTAAAACCAAATAATGTTTAGAAAATGTTCCTGGACTAAAAAATATTCAAGAATTTAAAATGCTTGCTATTTTTTAAATGCTTAGTGAATCTAAAAAGTTCACAAACCCAAAAAAATTGAATTCTAAATTTTTTTTTGACTTTTAAAACATGTTCAAGACTTTTGAAAATTTTAACAAAACTAAAAAAATTTCCAAATATCAAAAGTGGCTTTGGAATTTTTTTTAAATCATGAACTCTTAAAAATTACACAAGTAATAAAAAATGTTCAACATGTGTTAAACAGATCAAGATGCATTTGAAAATAGTTCAACATGTATTTAAACAATGTTAAGCATGTTTTGAAAAATGTTTAACGCCAGTTTTTCTCAAAAAAGATCATGTATAAAAAATGATTGTACAAGGCTGAAAGGAAATAGACGGAAGAAAGTGGTTTCTCAGCAGAAAAAAAAACTGGCTGAAAGATAAAATCCAAGGTGCCAGTATAAAACACCTGTAGGGATTAGTGCTGGGCCAGCCCATGCCAGAGTACGTATGGGCGATTGACACATAAACGTCGCTACGGGCGAAGTATAGCAATTGCGTTTCTTATCTACTACCGAATCAAAATGACGGGGAACAAACAACCCCCAAAAAATGGTGCCTTGAAGCCAGGGTGAAACTTCCTGAGTTCAGTTAAATTGCTGAACACAAGAGATACAGCGCAAATTTTATCTCCAACAGAAGCTAAAACTTAATGAAGTGTCAGTACTCAGTCGTGGTCATGCATTTGCCAAAAGTTCAGTGCCCTGCTCTTTTTTTTAATAACAATGTAAAGAGAAGGCAGCGCCCTTTTGCTTTTTTTACAACGGATGGAATACAAAAACCGTCACAACACGTAAAAACATACCGCAACTCCATTAAAGGTTACACACGAAACTCCAACCACAAGATCGTGCTCATCGATAGGAGAAAAAATGGAACCGAAACGTGGAAACAAGTATCTTATAGTGCAGGAAAAGCTTAAGACAGGAAGACCCCATTCACCCAGCAGCAAAGACGCGTGGTCTTATTAGTGGCTACACCGGAAGCCATTGCCGGAGATGGACTGCACACCGGCGTCTAGCTTCCATAGTGGGCGCATGTCAGGCGCCATTCTCGCCTTCAGGTGGAGTCATATGAGGCTGTCGCCAGCCTTCATCTGTTGCTGACGGTGCGGAGCATCCACGCTGGTAGATTGCTGTTGTTTGCTTGTGCTGGAGACGGCTGAGGTTCTGGATTCCCCCCTCCTGATTCTCTAGATTGATATGGCCTGCATTTTGTAAGGAATGGCAGCGTACTTAAACAGACAGTGACTTTTCATCTAGGAACAGTGCTAGTAAATAATCGCTTATGTTAAATACATTGTCCAGCCTTGGTTTCCTGACAGGTTTAATAGTATCTAGCAAAATGGAACAAAGCTAGCTCATGCGTTTTACTGTTTCTTACGGAGAGCTATTTCCAGAAACGTTTAGCATCTAGCTTTTGATTTCAGCATGCGCTTATGTATCACGTGAACTGAACTCAATGAACTAACAGCCCTTGATTTAACCATTTCACCAAAATGAATTAAAATTGGAGATAGCTTATGCATAGTTCATGTTTTGCTCAAGTCCTCTACGAAGACAGTGGTACCATTAACTCATCATGGATCAAATCTAAGATTTGATGCTTTTGTGTCTCATTAATGCAGATTATTCTTTCAGTTGGAGGCAACGTTTCCATCAATAGCAAGGCGCCTGTGGTTGTGTGAATGTGAGCGTGTGTACATCTACGTTGTAATCGGTGTTTCAAAAGAAAGACATCCAAATACTTTGCCTGAAGAACAATGCACATTCTTATTTTATTTAGTGATACGTAAACGAGGAAAAAACGTAAATACAGTGGAACTAGGGATGCAAATTTGGATCCTTTAAGGTCTCCTGTGGCCCTCCCCAATTCAACCAAATGAACTAAAATTTCAGAAGTGTTGTAAATTCTGAAATTTTAGTTCATTTAGTTGAACCAAGGAGGGTCAGAGGCTACCTTAAAGATTTCAAATCTGCATACCTAAGTGGAAGCATAAGTACCCAATATTTGGAGGTGCCATGGAATCTTGGGCTGTCGCTGGTGTAGGTGACGGTGAGCTTGTTGTTGCTCCATTCAGCTGCTCCTGGTGATGAATATTTGTTGCTCCATTCAACTGCTCTTGGTGATGAATATTTGACAAAACGTTATTTTTCTCCTTTTCTGTCTCTACGAGGTGCTATGAAAAATAAAAAGAAGATTTTAGCCTCCGGCCTACACGGCTAGTCACCTTACAGTAAACAAGAAAATTTACCTTCTGCAGGACACCATTCTGATCTTTTAATGACTTCTCCTGCAAAGTATAAGACAGTGATTATAAATATTTGCTAACCTAGGTCTACTTAATATCTACAAATGATGAAGAAATAGATGTTTAACTATGATTAAAGCATGGGAAAACAAATGTTCGAATTCGAGTGGTTCTTTCTTCAAATGTTTCAGATGACGGTGTGTTTATAAAGGCGGGAGGCCAATGCGTCATATCAACAATACTCCTTGGTGGTCACTGTACACACGTAGGTAAACCACATAGGGAACTTAATGAGTGTAACATACCTTCTTTTGAAGCTCAGATATAGACTCAAAGAGAAGTTGATTCTGTAAAATGAAAAAGGCATGCTATTTCATAAGATTTCAGTTAAAAATTGGCAGATGAAAAGTAGCTCTGCACACCAATGGCAAAACATCAACACAATTGGTTCACCTTTCTTGACCTTATGTGCTTCAAAGAACTATCAAGCTGTTGTTCCAACTGTTGGAGTTCTTTTGTGGTGAGTGGGTCCAATTGTTCACCCAAGAGTTGCCTTGAGTTTGAAATAGACCAAACGCCAGTTAGCACTTAGCACCCATCATATAACCAGAATGAGAATGTTCCCAGAAATACAATACCTTTGACTCTTCTGGAGTGCATCGAGTTTTATCTTCAAACTTCCATATTCATCTCCCCAGTTTGCCTACAAAGAAAAAGAATATGAAGTACATATAATAAGTAAATTTAATTAGCTAAATGAACTAATCTCTTCACTGCATGAGCATAAATAGTTCCACAACAAGTAAGAATGTTACCACTTGGAAAGAGTGGTTAGCTATCTCAAAAACAATCGACAAAAAAAAGTAAGAATGTTATTTACCTGGTTTCCAATACTTGGATCCAGTACAGCTCTTTCTTCAAATGAGTAACGTTGGTAACGTTCAAGAATCACATCCATGCTACTGAATAAATGTCCCCAAATAAGGCCGTACATGCACAAAAAGGAAATTGAGGTCTTATATTAGAACCAAACTAATACTCATACATTATTTTCAAAATTACAACAGTGTAATAATCCTGTCCTGTGCTTGAAACTATTGAAATGACCAGGCCTAATGTGCTCCTTATTTGAGAGTGAAAAACAAACTGATCAGGGCCATTTTCTCATATTTTTTAAGTATAGCAAAATGCAATAGTATTTGTTTTTGAGCAAACCTTGTCGTTAAATATAGTTGCAAAGCAACTTGTGTGTCACATCCTGATGCATATCGTCATCACATGCACTGTGTGCGCAGAAAGCCAAGGATAGCACAGGAGAAAATTCGAAAGGTTTGTTTAGAATCGGACAACTTAGCGCATCTCTAGCCCTGCTTCCTCCAAATTTCTATAACGCCCAGAAAAAACTGCTTTCTTGGGAGCTAACACTATCTAGTCATTAATACAAAAACTTTTACTCCCAAAAGATTTAGTCATCCTAGGTGGTAATAAATCTTTAGAGACAATCACCTCAATGCATCGTCACTTAATATTGTTTCTAAGTGATGTTGTATTTAATTGGTTTATGGATCATATGTGCATTTTAATATTGTGGCCTAGTCGTAGAAATAATGAAAGAGAGAAACATAGGAAAAGAAGCCACACCTAATGAAAGCATTAATTACACTATGTAATGAAACGTGTTAAGAGCCCCTTCTCTTTCTTCTTTAATTGATGTGCCACATCAGCATTTTACGTATGAACTCGTGCTAAAAGATAAGTATTGGGAGCATCCTAACTCCTCGACCTAGCCCTTTACTGCTCAAATTTGACCAGGAAGCACGAGCTCCTCAAACCCTCTCTAAACAAAACCTTTTTGGCAGGCTAAAAAAATCAACCCCAACCACCGCCACGCAGCTCCCCCGAGGCGGCACCTCTGACCTCCCCGACGACTCGCCTTGTGCCTTCTCCCTACTCGCCGGAAGCCCCACTGCGGCCCTAGGTCCCGCCACCCGCCTCACCCCGACCCGAGCTCCATCCTTCCTGCGGCCACCATGCACCCATCAGAGGCTTCCACGTCTCCTTCCCCGCGTCGCCTACACCTGCCATCGTGGGCTCTGGCACCTCCATGTAGATCGATGGAGAGGTTGAAAGTTCATCTTGCTCCTCACTTGCGCACCCCGCTAGCCGCCGCGGCATTCTCCTCGCTCACGAAGTGTTTGACCAATTGTCCCAATGGTAAACTCTTCCTTTTTCCGTTTTTTCTTGGTTTGTGCACTAAATCTGATCATTGGAAAACTTTGTAGATGAAGGGGCTATTAGAAGGGTTTTTTCGGCATCCCGTCGTCCGAGGAAGAAGAAGAAGAGGGTAATGATTTTGAGATTGCATTGCCCGTGATCATTTGAGTGGAAGAGAGGAACAAGAAATGTGCTTCTCGGCCACCATCGCATCTATCGCAATACGGTAGATGCCCAAAGTTTTCAGGATTAATTTGCGAACAATCCCCCGTGTATCCGAACAAATCATTTAGGCAAACAATTACAAATGCACAAAGATCTTCGTGCACATTGCAAGAGCTGTGGAGGAGGAGGATCACTGGTTCACACTGAGAAGGGATGCAGTTGGATTAACCAGTGCAAGTCCTCTGATGGAAATGTATGTCAATAATTCGAGTGCTTGCATATGGAGTGGCAATTGACCTCGTTGATGAGTAGATTCACATTGGAGAATATACCATCCTCGAGAAAATGAAGGGATATCAAAAGTTGTGACGAGATCTTAGGAGGGCACCCACTGATGAAGACAATGTGAGGCTTCTGGCTATGGGTCAAGCAAGAGGGTGGACAGAGATGCTTGAGTCCTTTGGTTGCATGATTGGACATGGAAGAATTGTCCCGCTACATGGCATGGGCAGTTCAGAGGGTATTGCCATGATTCAACCGTCATGCTCAAAGCAGTTGTATTAGAGGATCTATGGATTTGGCATTCATACTTTGGAGTGCCTAGCTCACATAATGACCTCAGTGTCCTAAAGAGATCTCTATACGTGGCTTCTTGCCGGCCAACCTCCACCTTGTAACTATGTTGTCAATGGCCACCATTACAACCTTGCAGATGGCATCTACCCTCAAGGGATCACACTTGTGAGGATAATTCAAAGCCATAAAGGCAACATGATATCTCACATTGCAATGTGCCAAATAAGCCATGAGAAAGGATGTTGAGAGAGCTTTTGGTGTGTTGCAAGCTTGCTTTGCTATTGTCTATGACCCTGTTGAGTATTGAGACCTAAAGATAATGTGGAAGATCATGACAACATGATAAATACAGATGAGGTCAACCAAGAAACTTTGACTACGATTACAATGGGCTACCAGTCCATCCAGAATATCAAGCCAACATGATCTAGAGATTCCTCATAGAGCATCACATGATGGAGAGGCGAGAAGCTCATGACCATCTCAGAGATGATCTTGTGGAGCACTTGTGGGAACTTCATAGTTCTTATTATTATGCTTTCATCATGTTTTATTTGGATTATTTCTTCATTTAGACCCTATATTGTGTTTGAATTTGAATGTTTAAATACGATGACAATGAATTTGAGTTCTTATTGAATTCTATGCATTAGAAACATCAAGGTACGAATTAATATGTTGTGAAAATGTAATTCAAACAGGATATATGCATGCAAAGGCATAGAAGAAATAGCAAAGAAAAAGTATAGAGAGTTAAGTTTATGGAAAGGACTTGGTGCAACCGAGTTTAAGCCCTCAAAGTTGCAGTAGTTAAGTTTGGGCAGGTGGTTTAGTGAGTTATGTTTTAGGAGAAGGGGTAGAGATGCTCTTAGTACATAGTAAACTCCATGAGGTGTCCTAAAAGTCTATCATTAAGTGTATGTTATTTCAAAGTCTTACATTCACTAGTAAATAGATATATTGAACTCATGCACCAACGAGTTCATTCTAAAGTCTGAATTGATGAAGAATGTTGGGCAATATATTTCAAC